TCCCTCCCTTGCTCCCAGAGAGAAGATCGCTGGGGTTAACATTGCAATAATCTGAATACTTACTACACATTTCAGGCCTTGTCCTTGGAAAATACCTAACTGATACCATCTTAACAGTTTAAGTTATCCACTACATCTAAGTATACAAGCAAATGTTTATCATAGTATGAGCAAAGATTAACACCACTAGTGATGGTACTAATAGATTCATGAGTCCAGTAGCTGTAGGGGTACATCCAGATTCAAAATGGGTTGTAAAAAATGTTCACTTGATGCAGCGTGGGCATTTCCCCATTTGGAAAGTAAAGCAATGAATGCATCAAATGGCTTAGCTGTCCTGGAGCTAGCTCACATCCATTAGCAGCATTGACTGAGCTCTGAGCTGGCTTTTTCCTCTGCCCTTCTATTCCTTAGCTCACAGCTCTTGATCCTTAAAGGGCTTTTTGTCCCACTTCATCATATATAAGGAAGAAGTTCTTTACTATGAGGGTGCTGAGGCACTGGAACAGGTTGCCCAAAAAAGTGGTGAATGCTACATCCCTGGCAATATCCAAGGCCAGATTGGATGGACCCTTAGGTGACATGGTCTAGTGTGAGGTGTCCCTTCCCATGGCAGGGGTGTTGGAACTAGGTGATCTTAAAGTCCTTTCCAACCCAAACCATTCTAAGATTCTACAATATCCTGCTTCTTTTCTTCCAAGACAATTCATAGGCCATAGCAAGTATGGCTGTTGCATAGAGATTTTCCCTCCACATGACACTTCTTCCAAGATTAACTACACCAATGGACTCTAAGCATTATCTTCAGCTTGCTGATAATCTCACACGTATTTTGAGGCACCCCGTAGCCTCCCACTCTCTAAACCTTGCCATTTGTGCCCAATGCTATTAGCAAAAAAATATTCTAGAACAATATGAGACAATGACTGACAATGTTTTTAGTGACTGTCAAGGAGTAGGTAACTGACAGTAGGAGGTGAACTCCAGCAGGGACAAATTCAGCCCTTACAGGAGTCCCTCATAATCAGTAATGATAGATAGCTTCAGCTGGGCAGTGTTTCAATCAAAACTGTCAGACAAAAGTTTTTTGAAAGTCATAGCTGAGACATTAAGCCTGTCTTGCATTGCACAGAAAGTATTTGTAGACAGTGTATGAAGACATCACATTTATTTTCACTGAACTGTGATAAGCAAATGGCAAATCATGCCCTTTTCAAAACTGTGGCTGTGTAGATCATAATTTATTCAATAAGCACATATTTTTAATGAGTTTCCTGTGCTATAAAAAATAGTACCAAGCACATCATTTTAATAGGGTTTGTAAATAGACCATTAGAACATTTCACCTTATTCACTAACACATTTCTACTAATGCTTTAGGGAAGGGCTTGAACCAAGAACTAAGGACCAAGAAGGCAGGTCGGCAGAAGCCTCATGTCATGGACGTGGTCACATCCTAACTAGCCTTTGCACACTGTTCCTAGACAATAGTAATGTGATGTAACTTATTCATTTTAAAGTATTATAGAGTTTTCTATCACAGAATAATTGTAGAGAAAATACTATAAATCAGTAGGAAGGTTTTGAGCTGCTATTTGCTGTAAACTAATTCATGTTTATTGTTTTTCTATTAGACATATAATGAGGTAAAGGCACAGAAATTGCCAACATAGCTTTTATGACCAGTCTCTGAATTATTAATGAATATCTTTTTAAATATATGCGTACATGAAACCTTAAAGCATAAAATAATACACTTAGAATTCCTTTTACTGGTTTACAGCCTGTTATCAGCAGAAGAAACAGCTTCTGCTAATTGCATTACCAAAATAGCTTCCCTGTTCTCAGATGACCTTTTGTTGATCATCCATTAGTATTTCAGTTCCCATGTGTTTTTACAGTGTAAAGTGCCAGAATATGCAGAAAGGGAGACTTGAAACCTCTGTTTGCGATTTCGTAGTGGCACCTTTCACAACCACAAAAGTTGGGCTTTGAGATATTTAAGTATTTATGAATACCAGCACCTTGATGACAGGCTTCACTATAGGGAGTTTAACAGTATGGCTATCTAAGGTATCCTTTAAGAACTCAGAACATCAAAAATACCAAAAATATCAGGACAAAAATTATTTGCAGTTAATAGGGGACATAAGCAACACAAAATGTATCTATAAATACATCAAATGTAAAAGGATAATGGAGGAAAGTTTATGCCTGTTACCAAAAGGAAAATGGAACCAGTAACTCAGAGAATGATGAAAAGTTCAATGAAGACTCTGTTTTAGTGCTCTCAGAAATAAAGATCATGATCTGATACTTAAGATGATTGATGAGAACAACTGGATTTATGTGAATTAGGAAATAAAAAATTTAAAAAATATTTATAAAGTGGTGGGATTGTATATAATCCACCCTGTCATGGTTCAGGAATTTGAAGAGGAAATCTTTCTATCAGTTTTTATGTCTGTGAAACCAAGAATGGGGATATTTCAGAAGCCCACAAAGGGAAAAATGCAATACCTATCTTTAAAAGGCACAACTAGCAGCAATTTATGAACCTGCCATTCTCATTTAAATACCTAGAAAGCATTACAGCAAACCAGTAAATAATCAATATATCCACATATGGAGAACAAAAAGTAATAATGAAGAGAAAAGGAACTGCCAACGTAAACTTGCCAAGAATAAAATTGTGTTGCATTAATCCAATCTGGCCTAATGGACAAAGCACAAGCAATAGATCAAGCACATCTGGATTTCAGTGAGTCGTTTGGTATTGTCCTATATTCCATTGTGCTGAAATATGAATAAAGTCACAAAGAAATGCACTATAGATGCAGGTGCTCTGTTATGCCAGGAAGGGCTCAAACAAAAATAAGATTTCTAACCAAAGCATTTGCAACCTATAGTAGCTGCTTGCAGCTGGAAGATTAAAAGAGAACATAATCAGAATATTGGTAATGTTGCATAGCACGCACTGCAGATGGCGTTTGCTTTCAGTACAGAATAAATAAATCCATATCTACTGCACATAAAAGCTCCAGATAACCAGTGTCACCAAAAGTATAGGTCACTGGATGGTTGTCTGCTACATGTAATGCTAAAGAGCCTCCACCAACCCATTCTCCAAATGCTGGTTGAATACAATCAGAAATCAGAAGGATACAGGTGACTTAAGATCAAGGTGGTTCTAACAATGATGAGGCTAACGAAGAGGCAGGATAGAGGATGGAGATATGTTCCTGCAGTTAGCTATGGGCTCGAAAAGTTGAGATTTTGGAAGGATGAACTTGGAGGATCAGAATTTTTATGTTTTTACCCGGTTTCTGTAAATACTGTCCTTTGCTCAAGTTATGAAGGACCGGAGGATTAGAAATATGTGCTGTTGACGTTTTAGTTTGTGCTCATTAGTCCAGTTTAGGTTGCCTGTCTTCCAAGGTTCTCAGTGCCACTTGACTGTTTTATTCAGTTAACCTGTCCTGCATGACGCCCCTGTTACACGTTTTCCAGTACAGTGAAAGTCTCCTCTGTTACTGTCTTTATAAAAATATGGTATTCTCTTTGCTCTTGATTCTTAAGTACTACAGTGCTTAATTAAAAGTAAGTACACAAAATATGACCAGCATTTTTCAGTTATTCTGCATCCAACAGCCAAATGTCTATATGCATATTAAGCACTGACACTTACAAATCTAGTAACCAGAGCACAAATGAGAATTACAAATGTGCCCTCATTTTACTTTCAAGTTACCAGCTGAATCAGACAAATGTCTTAATAAAAAATACGTCTGAAAATCTTCCAGTCAACCCAAATATAAACAGTGATATTTTAAAGACCTGGAAAAAGACAAACAGTATTTCTGTCACCCAGCCCAGAGAATTATATATACAGCTCTGAGAAGCCAATCTTGCATTTGAATACCTCAGCATTCATTATCTGAGTACACAACAATAAAGCCACAGTTAATGTTTTAACAGTACTGAGTGTATGCTGCATGCTTCACTTCCATTTGGTTTCAGTAACATTTAAATACACATCTGATATTTATGCCTTTCCTTACAGGAAGCTATATTTAATAGCTTCCTCTAATACCCCAAGCTTTTTGACCTGTAGAATATTTACAATACAGCACTTGGCTTTCAGACTGTTGTCTTGGACCCAAATTGGCTCAGTGCAGCCTGATTGCCAGCAGGTCGTGGCTTACATGATGACCACCATCTTTGCCAAACTGCAGACCTATTAAAATCAAGGTCTCTCACAAAAGTGGTAACATTTCTCTCTTCTGTGACTTGCTTGCAGTAAGAGAACGTAGCACAGAGACATGGATACACGGGTGAATCCAGTGAGAAGTTGAGAAGGGCAAAGTGCTTGCAAACACTGATCTTGCTCCTCAAGCTCTCAAAGTGCAAACTAAAGCTGCAAACTAAATGTGTGTTGTGAGAGTCGTAACATTTGGGAAAAAATATGGTGTTGTTTGGAGAAGAAGCACCATTGAATTCCACCCAATTCTTGCTTTACAGGAGAGGGTGTAAAATGTTGAGGGACATGCCACAGAGCGAGCAGCTTAACAATGAGCAACATGAGATTCACAAGGTACATCTGTCCTTTAGGAGACTATGGCTATCAATACCCAAAGATGAGAAGAGAAAGTAATGCTGAACCTACCCAAAGAATTAAAAAAGACTTGCTACATCTTGGTTCTAGTGAATAAAGGCTGGAAAATGTTCTTTTCGGTTAAAATGTTGGTTACAATGTATGCTGTTGGTTTATCCCCTCTGTTTCACTCACTTCAAATTTGTCTGCAGAGTCTACAGCAGTTTAGTCTGTGAGACCCTCTGCAAGCATGTATGAGAAAGCAACCCAGGGAATTGTAAGCCTGTTCAAAGCCATGCTTTTTAGGACAATAATGAAAGCAGCATCAGCTTTTCTTACTATGTCTTTTCCAGCAATGAGCTAGGTACAGAAATCTCATACCGCCTTTTTCTCTTTCTCTGCACAGAAATGGTTTCCATCACAAATGAAAACACTACGGAACTTTACAACATCATGGCCACTCAGGAGCTCGCAGTCAGTCCAACAAATTGCAACAATAATTCAGGAGTTCATCAGCTGAATGAATACAAATGTATTAATTCATACGTATGGCAATGGCTACAGGATTTTCAGCCTGGCTTCCTCTGGTTTATATTTATTCTTGGAGCATTGGAAAATTCCTTTGTCCTCATCGTCCTGTGTTTCCACAAGAGTCCCTGCACAGTGGCTGAAATTTACCTAGCAAACATGGCACTTGCTGACTTAATGTTGGTCTGTGCTTTACCTTTCTGGGCCATTAATATTTCTAATGGGTTTCAATGGCCTTTTGGCCTGTTCCTCTGTAAAGCTGTCAATGTAATGAGTAACATGAACTTTTACTCTAGTATTTATTTCTTGACACTTGTGAGCATCGACCGCTACCTAGCCTTGGTGAAAACCATGTCTCTTGGACGGATGCGACGAACTGTCTGTGCCAAATGGAATAGCTTTGTCATCTGGACATGTGCATTGCTCATATGTTCACCTACAATGGTGTTCCGAAATTTACACTATTATGCAGAATACAACATCACAGCCTGCACTCTCGTTTACCCAGCCAGCTACTGGGAGCCTGCAACCAACTGCTTGTTGAATATAGTGGGCTTTGTGATCCCACTCTGTGTAATTACCTACTGTACAACGCAAATCATCAAAGCCTTGCGAAGTAATGAGCTACAAAAAATTAAGCTAGTCCAGACAGAGAGGAAAGCCACCATGCTGGTCCTTGCTGTGCTTTTGCTTTTCATCATTTGCTGGCTTCCATTCCAAATCAGCACGTTCATTGACACAATCCGTTACCTTGCACCCACTCTTAAATGCCTGGAAGAAATCAATGACATAGTGACCCAGATAGGTACATACTGTGCCTTTTGTAACAGCTGCCTGAACCCAATCTTGTATGTAATTGTAGGGAAACACTTCCAGAAGAAAGCTGTGGAATTCTACAAGGACTTGTTTCCAAAGAGGTGCAGAAAATCACAGTCTGTGCAGATGGAAAACTCCCTGGACACTTTAAGAACTTCCATTTCAAATGAATATCCAAGGAAAAAGTCTGTTTTCCCATCACCATGATAACACAATCTGTTCATTACAGAAAAAAAAAAGCCTAACTTATGAGTCTCCGCTAATATCCATCTACTACTAGTCAACAAAATAATTGTGGTAGTATTCATCATTTGTGAGAAAGCAAGGGTTTGATCTTGATGGAAACTCCATACAGGGACCTGCTTCTAATACTACTGAATACTTTTCATTATCAAATCCTCCTTTGTAGCATACTCACATATTCATGGCTGACTAATATTTGATGCATTTAATGTTTGCATTTCTAAGGTGTACATGCATGTACAGACAGTTGCCTGAATAGAGGCCCCGGTCCTGCCAGGATTGTGCAACTCCTTATGGTACCTATACAGTTTGTTGGACTAGACTTTTGACAGAAGGGGCTTGTAGTTGAGTAAGTTCTGGTAAATTAATCCTGTAGGATTATTATTCAAATGGGGTTTTAGGTGCAGCCGTTTTTTTTCTGTGTTCAGTCATCCAAAGCTATTTCAATTATTAGATCAACAAGCTGTGCCTTTTTGCAACTGCTCTGCCCCTCCTAGTTACAGGTTTACATCAGTTTGTACATATGGAAAGTAGCTCTAAAAAAAGGCAAAGCAGTACTGGAAGGAAGGCTGTAGCCAGCTGCATGAAGCTAGCTGAGGTTTTTTTGTAGCAGGAAACTGGTTTACCCCTTCTGCACTGGATAAAGGCATACACTTACTCCTTTTGAATGACTGAATATTATTTATCCATACCTACACTTCAGCTCAGAGACTTAATTTTCAATATTTACAAAGGGTAATTAATATTTGTAATGTTATTAAATAGAAACATAAAAGTTCAGCTTTTATATTTCAGTTCAGTTCAGCAGTTCAACTGAGAACATGAAGGAGAACATTGCCTAACAGCCTTAGAAATCTAACTAAAGCTAACAGGAGTCTAGAAAGTTCAGAATATTCAGGAATGGCCTTTTCAGAGTCTAACATACCTACATTTTATTTCTAGAGTTAATCTGAGAGTTATTAATATGAGGTATCTTTTCCCTAACTGGACTCAATTAACTAAAGGGGGGAGAATTCAGGCTGGACATGAGGAAAAAATTGTTTACAATGAGGGTGGTAAAATACCAGAACAGGTTGCTCAAAGAGGTGGTGGATGTGCCATCTCTGGAGGCATTATATTCTTTGGACCTTGAATGGCACTATAAAGTTTCATTTAAGATGAGAAATTTGTATTAAACCTTCAAATAATTAACCCCAAAAGTGCTCTAAAAGTGTGTGGATGTACTGTAAAAACTATAGGATTTAGATCACCTCAGATGACTTACAGACAATTTCCACAGGTTTTCTTTAACAATCCAATATAATCGTGTCACAAATATTTCTATTGTTCATTCCTTATACTGTCCAAGACACCTATGAGGAAACACTTCAAGGCTTTCTCTTATTTCCACTGTTGTCAATACTCTCACTCACGAGCATGCTGTTCACACAGTCATTAAATAAAAGGAAGCCCATACAGAGATTATTCAGGCAATAGAGGAGATTTTTGAGTATTTGGTACTGAGAAATAAAATATAAAAATGTTGTTATATTAATATGACATTAATTTAAATCATGTAAATATATAGATATTATTTTGCTATGCAGTAAACATGTATAACAGAAAATAAACTAAGAAAGAATATTTGCTGGCATTTTCTTCCCTAGGCCTTATCCTGTTAGTCAGGAATGACTTGTCAGAAGTGCAACTGTTGCAGGTACTTTCTTTCACTTTCCATTTTACCAAAGGAAAATGAGATAAAACCACAAAATTCTAGCTGCTTTAAAGCTTTGGGTCAGCTTTCTTTTCAGGGCTCATTACTGGGTGGTGCTGACCACCCTCGGACCCTTTGGAAACTAAAATATGAATTAAGGCAGCTAAGGATACCAAAATCTTTTCAGTAGTTTTTCTCTGCCCGTGAAACCGAAGATACTACTTTCCTTTGTGAGGACCTAGGGTACACAAGAGCTTACGGGTGCTGTTTGAAGGATGGACCTTCAGCCTAAAGCTTTTACTCCTCTCTCAAAGCACACAGACACCAGCAGCAATGGAAAGCCCCTGCACCAGCTTCTGCAGACTGCACAATGTCAGCTCACAGACCTTTGTGTTCTTGCCCACTTTCCAGGGCAGTCACACATTGTGCAGTACTTGCATGTACCACTTGTGCCAATAACCAAACTCCTCAAACGATAAAGTGCTATGTCTAAGTCTTACATACTGGCAGTTTACAGTCATAGTCAGGTGCCTGGCTCTGTCCTCACAGAAACAAGTCAAAGTTAAAGACAGATAGGAACAGCCTCACGCTCGCAGGCCCTTGTTCTCATGGGGGACTTCAGCCACCCCGATATCCGTTGGAGTGACGGTACGGCCCGGCCCAAGCTATCCAGGAGGTTCCTCGATTGTGTGGAAGACAACTTCCTTCTGCAAGTAACAGAGGAGCTGACAAGGAGAGGTGCCGTGCTTGACCTCGTGCTCACCATCAGGGAAGGGCTGGTTGGAAATGTGATGCTCCAGGGCAGCCTTGGATGCAGCGATCATGAGATGGTAGAATTTGAGATCCTCAGGACAGTGAGAAGAGCATGCAGCAAGCTCACTGCCCTGGACTTCAAGAGAGCAGACTTTGGCCTCTTCAGGAACCTGCTCAGTAAGGTTCCATGGGATATAGCCCTAGAGGGCAGGGGGGCCTAATGCTGTTGGTAGACATTCAAGGGTCACCTGCTGCAAACTCAGGAGTGTTGCATCCCAACTAGAAGGAAGTGCAGCAGGAGGGCCAGGAGACCTCCTTGGATGGATAAGGAGCTGCTGAGGAAAATTCAAAGGGAAAAAGAGGCTTATAAAAGGTGAAAGCAAGGACAGGCAGCCTGGGAAGAGTACAGGGATGTCATTCGGGAAGCTAGGGACCAGGTTAGGAAAGCTAAGGCCCAGTTAGAATTAAACTTGGCTGGGGATGTTAAAGATAACAGGAAGGGATTCTATAGGTACGCAGTGAATAAAAGACAGACTAGGGACAACGTGGGCCCCCTCCGGAAGCTATCAGGAGAACTGGCTACCCTGGATTTGTAGAAGGCTGAGGTTCTGAATGACTTCTTTGCCTCGGTCTTCACTGGCAAATGCTCTGACCAAACCACCCAAGTCTTGGAAGGCAGACGCAGAGACTGTGAGAATGATAACCCTAGGCCCACTAGAGGAGAGGATCTGGTTTGAGACCATCTTAAGAACCTGAATGTACACAAGTCCATGGGACCTGATGAAATCCATCCACGGGTCCTGAAGGAGCTGGCAAATGAAGTTGCTAAACCACTGTCCATCGTATTTGGAAAGTTGTGGCAGTCAGGTAAAGATCCCGATGACTGGAAATAGGGAAATATAACCCCCATTTTCAAGAAGGGGAAAATGAATGACCTGGGGAATTACAGACCAGTCAGTCTCACCTCCATGCCTGGCAAAATCTTGGAGCAGATTTTCCTGGAAGGCATGCTCATGGCTTGACTTCGCGAATTAAGATTTGGGAAGTGCCTGTCGTGGTTTAAACCCAGTCAGGTAACTCGTTCGCTCACTTCCCCCCCTTTTTCTTGCCCTCCCCCTGCTCTCGGAGGGACGGAGAGGAGAAGAAAAGAATGCAACTCCCACGGGTTGAGATAAGAACAGTTTAGTAACTAAGGTATAACACAAATCACTACTGCTACCACCAATGATAATAATGATAAAGGAAATAACAAGGGAAGAGATACATCATCTCACCACCAGCCGACCGATAACTCGCCCCCCCCCAGCCCGACCAAGCTCTGACCGATACCTCCTCCAACCCTGCAGTCTCCCAGCCCTTCCGGCTAACTCCCAGTTACATCCTGGGCATGACGTGCTGTGGTATGGAATACCTCTTTGGCTAGCTTGGGTCAGGTGTCCTGTCTCTGCTTCCTCCTGGCTCCCCCTCCTCCCTGGCAGAGCATGAGCCTCACAAAGTCCTTGGCCAAACCAAAACATCGCTTGTTATCAGCTCTGTTCCCGAGCTGAAAGTCAAAACACTGCACTGCACCAGCTACCAAGAAGGGGAAAAATGACTGCTACTGCTGAACCCAGGACAGTGCCGATAACTAAAAAGGCCAACATGAGATAGGCAAATACGGCTGCAAAAAGCACAGCAAAAGGTCTCCTTGGGTGGTATAGGCGGGGTGCAATTCTTTCTATGTTGTCTTTTCTCCTTGAGACTAGTTCTGCATGAGTTCTCAAAGGAGTCAACGGCATTATGTATGGTGTGTCTCCAAGTCTCCCGACTGGAGACCAAGGTGGACCACTGATGGTAGTCAATATGGCCAAGACTAAGGTATTGTTTCAGGGAGTCCTTATATCTCTTCTTTGGGGCAAATCTCTTGCGGCAGCTGGAGGCAATTTCACTGTAAAACACGATCTTAGGGAGGCGGTGATCCTTCATCCTAGAGACGTGCCCTGCCCAGCACAGCTGCAATTTCAGCAATATGGCCTCGATACTGGTGACCCCTGCCTGTTTGAGAACAGTAACATTTGACACATAGTCAGTCCAATGGATGTTTAGAATTATACAGAGGCAGTGCTGATGAAAGCATTCGAGGAGTCGAAGCTGATGGCGGTAGATGACGCATGATTTAGACCCATATAAAAGAGTAGACAGTACAAGGCACATGAAAAACAACAAGATGCTTGGTGACAGCCAGCATGGCTTCACTAAGGGGAAATCCTGCCTGACCAATTTGGTGGCCTTCTATGATGGGGCTACGGAACTGATGGACAGGGGTAGAGCAGTTGATGTCATCTGCCTGGACTTGTGCAAAGCATTAGACACTGTCCCACATGACATCCTTGTCTCTAAATTGGAGAGACATTAATTTGATAGGTGGACCATTCAGTGGATAAAAAACTGGCTGGATGGCCTCATGCAAAGAGTTGTGGTCAATGGCTCAGTGTCCAACTGGAGACCAGTAACGAGTGGTGTCCCTCAGGGATTGGTGGTCTTGTTCTACATCTTTGTCGGTGACATGCCCGGTGGGATTAAGCGCGCCCTCAGCAAGTTTGCCGATGACACCAAGCTGTGTGGTTTGGTTGATACGCATAAAAAAGACATGGAACTGTTGGAACAAGTCCAGAGGAGGGCCACAAGGATGATCAGGGGACTGCAGCACCTCCCGTATGAAGATAGGCTGAGAAAGTTGGGGCTGTTCAGCCTGGAGATGAGAAGGCTGCATGGAGACCTCATAGCAGCCTTCCAGTATCTGAAGGGGGCCCACAGGGATGCTGGGGAGGGACTCTTCATTAGGGACTGTAGTGATAGGACAAAGGGTAATGGGTTAAAACTTAAACAGGGGAAGTTTAGATTGGATATAAGGAGGAAATTCTTTCCTGTTAGGGTGGTGAGGCACTGGAATGGGTTGTCCAGGGAAGTGGTGAATGCTCCATCCCTGGCAGTGTTCAAGGCCAGTTTGGACAGAGCCTTGGGCAGCATGGTTTAGTGGGAGGTGTCCCTGCCCATGGCAGGGGGATTGGAACTAGATGATCTTAAGGTGCTTTCCAACCCTAACTATTCCATGATTCTATGAGAAGGGTTCTTGGTAAAATGAAGGGAGACTTTCTCCTGAGCATCGCAGAGCTGCAGATGTCAAACTGTAATCACACCACCTTTTTATTGCTCTTTACCCCTCCCTTTTTCCCTTTTACCCAAGGCTGCCACTTCTTTCTTAGATGCTTTGGCCTTGCAAATCTTGGACTCTGCATTCAGTCAGATGGAGATGGCTAGAGACCACTGCCTGAGGAGCCATCTCCAGAG